TTTGTGTTCAACATGTAAGAAGTCAAAGTAAAAAGTCGTCAGAAAAATAAGTAGTGGAGTAAAGTACTGATACCATAAAAAATATACTTAAGTACAGTAACGAGGTATTTGAACTCCACTACTTCCTACCTTTACCACCTAAGCCTGTCAAGATGCAGGTGTAAAATAACTCACTGAGAAGATGGCGGTTCTAGGTTTGGCATTAGTGGTGTCGATAGTGGTGGAAAACGTGTTGACTAGCGAAGTGAGGAAATGAGGTCAGCGGCGCTTCCTCTACCGAGAGTTTGTTTACGAGTCACAGCTGTGAGTTAATGCAAAGTGAAAAGGGGTTTCAAGCTGCAAAATCCCAAACTGTAATATCGAACTCACATGGTGCGGAAGACCGAGTAATCAATTACAAGCAGAAAATGAATTGGATGGCGGGCGAGGAGGGGATGGACAGCTGATGACATATTTATCAAGGCACATTCACCACGGAGGAATGTTGCACTGAGTGACAGACGGAGAGAGCCGCCTCTTTAACAGATCCCCTTGGAGACGGGTTTTAAGGAAATGGGAACATGCAGCACATTGGAGCTATTTGAGGAGGAGACTTGTGTTTCAAAAGCTGGGAGGCATGTGATAAAGAATTCATATTTTACCTGAAATAATAAAACGGAGGAGGTTGAATTATACATCTAATCCCAACGTGTGAATTTCTAACAAAATCAGAACGGAAATAAAGCATATAAATCACAGACAAAGAGTGCTCACCTTATTAGTGCCATGTTAATTAGCACAGGACCCACAGACAGAGGCTATAATGCAGGTGCTAAAAACTAAAAAGCCACATTGTTCTGCCTTAAAGCTCAGCCCAGTGTCTTACAGACGGATATTAGCTTTCTCACTGACCAAACACTGCAGATCCTCGGGCTATGCTGCCTCTCGAAAGATGTGATAGCCGCGGAGAAAAAAACAGCCACTGTGAGACACGTTTGTTTTCCTGGCCAACAGTGCGTGCTTGAAATGAATCACACAAATGTTTATTTAAAGAGATTAATTCCTCTTACAGTGTATTATTCATCAGGTTTCTGAGGGCACCCTGGCTTATAATATAGCTTGTCATTTTGCTCAAACTGACTGAAGCACGGCTAAATTGTAGTGAATTATTCAGAGCGCTGGTTAAATAAAACAGCAGATAGAACACACTGAAAGGACTCGTCTGTCTCCGTGTGAGGAGGTAGGGATACAGGAGAGAGATGCACATTATTTAAGCTCGGAAACACTCGGCCTTCATCCAACACAGGAAGCTACTGTAGGAGACGGAGGGAGGAAGAGGAGGAGGGAGGAAGAGGAGGAGCAGTTGGCAGCTCACAGTCGAGCCCACAGAGGGAAACAAACAGAACAAGTGAACAGAAGGCAGGACCTCAGAGGACTGAGAGGAACTCAGCATCTGAGCAAACACAACCTGTGGACTCAAGACCTCGGCCACAGTTTAGAGAAATCTCCCCTGACGTTATCAGAAAATGTGTTTTGTTGACATATCTAAAATATATCTCTCCCCCTTCACATCCGACAGTCTGACACAATCACCACATTCAAGTCCCTCCGTAAAACCACAGGTAAAGTAATATACCATACAATATATAATTAAATAGATTTGAAATATTTATATAGAGAGCCGAAGTCCCTCCCTTTCCAGCGATCCACCATGGGACCTTATCTCGGAAAGAATTATGTGTTGAAGTGAAAGGCGAGAGAGAAATTATCTTTCGATCCCGTTTGAATTGTGCCACGAATTACACATGATGTTTGTCAATCTAAAAAAATAATTTCCATGTCAAAAAAAGTCACAGTTTGTCGTAAAACTGTTGAAATATAAGACTATGAACAATACGCAACTAGAAAGACTACAAATCCCAGAATCCCCGTCCCGCATGCTGGCTCTTACAGAACTGACTACCGTATTTTCCGGACTATAAGTCGCACTTTTTTTCCTAGTTTGGCTGGTCCTGCGACTTATANCATTTCGCCGATAACTGTAAACAGGCTTGTCTGTTTGAGCAACTGGCTCAGTGCAAAGTAGTAGACAGGGTTGGGAGAGAGTGTAAGAGAGAGAGGGTCCAGGACCCTCTCTCTCTTACACTCTCTCCCAACCCTGTCTACTACTTTGCACTGAGCCAGTTGCTCAAACAGACAAGCCTGTTTACAGTTATCGGCGAAATGCCGCTCCTCTGTCTTCATCTTCAGTCAAAGCATGTCAAGTACCTTTGACGGCCGGCCCTGTTGGCTGACGGCCGGTACCGCCAGTTCACTAGCACACCCCCCCCCTCTCCCACCATCCAACTAACAACAACAACGTCAAGCCTTTGGGCTCTGAAACTACGGGGCGGGCCGAGGACAAATACACATGCATTAATCGCACGTTAAAATAATTAGTGGCGTTGAAAAAAATGTGCACTAACGCGTTAACTTGGCAGCCCTAATTTTGACCTTAATCGAAATATTCTGTTATTTTCAAAAGCTTTTTTAGTCTGATGCTTCGATTAATTTTAAACAGACCGTTCAACGAAAGGATACCCACACAATGTAGTTTCATTTAAATATTGGATTGTTCTCTCTTAGTAAGATCCCATTTTCAATAAAATGGTGGACTCACCTTGACTTGAAGATGAAGACCATGCGCCTATCCTTCTGGACAAAAACCTACAGTATAATACTTTGTTGTAAAAGTCCTCCTTATCTTTTGTAGTTTCAAAACTCTAGATTGTTTGCGTCTACTGTATGCGTCGAATAACAGTAGCAACAAGAACCTGTGGGCTCACGTGCGCCCCCGCCCTCCAGTGCGGCAGATTACTGTCTGCCTCACCTTGAGTCTTTTTACTGTGCTTTTATTTCACATCAGCAAGACTAAATATCTCCAACAGTGACACACATACATTACATACATTAGCTAGACTATGGAAAGTCAGCAGGACGCATATTAAAGTCTCTGTAAACATTATATTGGCGACATACAGAGTGATAGCAACAGGCACGCGCCAAATGCATGCACTCAACGTAGTTTCGAGCGATTACGCAATCCAAGGTGAAGCTCGTCGCTGCCTCAACTCGCATCTCTCATCGTATGGGAACTGAAAATATGCTATTTCAGCCATTTTTACTACAAATATGATCAAAATTAATGGAAACAAACAGAAAATACATTTATAGCACAGACCAGCAGAGAAATATTAATATTTATTTCATTTTATTGTTATTTGTATTTTTACTTTTCATGAGGAGGGCACTGCCTCACCTGCCTCCCCTGGCCGCACGTCCCTAACACACAGTATATTTGCTTGAATGAGTTGAATGCCTCTCCTCACCACATCTCTCTCCGTTTGTCTTCAGGGTCGAAACCTGATCCCCTCGGCTCCGGGGAACAGTCGCCTGAACTACACGGTGCTGATCGGAGAGACTCCCTGCATCCTCACCCTGTCTGAGAGCCAGCTGCTGTGTGAGTGGCCCAACCTCACCGGACAACACAAAGTCACGGTGAGTCACGCTCCTCTGGTGCTCCGCCTCTATCAGGCACATCCTCATCTGACGTCACTTCCTGAAATTATTCCGTGCCATTTTGGACCAGAATACCTCGAATTGATTATCCGAAAGAGACCTTGCTCCAAATTATGGGCTGAGACCTTCATGCTAAACTTCTTTCTTAATCCATTTTTTTTACTACTTATCTTTCTTATTCATTAAACAACTGGGTCAGGTTTTAGTATGCCAGATTAATTCCAAAAAGCAGTTTATATAAGGACCAAAAATACCACCTGCTCTACTTGTTATGTGTGCACTGACACAGTAATTCATGTTTACGAATATAAAAACACGGCCGCCTGACAATCTCAGCCCATAATGTCACTCTAACCCTGTTTATCACTTATGTGAATAACCCTTTCTAAACAATTTCCTCTTGACAGATTCAGCATACGCTTCATTGCGCTTGCACACCAAGGCTGCTGTTAAATATTTAACGCTTAATTAACATGTTGATCTTCATTGGCCTTCAGATAGCCTGTTGCTAAAGTGGGAGTTTCAGGAGGTAGACCCCTGATGAATACCTGATGACATTCAAATACAAAGCACAGATATGCAAAGTTAAGTGCTTAAGAGTTACATTCGCTAAGGGTGCTAACATCCCAACTCACAGGGAAATCACTTTTTCACATAACGTGTTGAAACAGGAACACAGTGAACGTTTGCCAATTGAAAACCATGGTTGTGTTCGAATTGTCAAAACACATTTTCTTAACCTCAGTGAAAACATGTGTTGGAGTTAAGGAGGACAATTGCTACTCAATGTATAAGCGCATCTAGATACTTCCCCCATGCGCTCTTATCATGTGTTGTGTTGTTCCATGCAGGTTTCATAAACAAGGAAAACATAAAAAAAGGCTTTTTACTTTATAACCAAGGTTTGAATTAAAATCAGAAATGAAAGAGAAACTAATGGTTGCTCGCGCTCTTTCCTACACTCATGTCCACACTCTATTTATCGACATGAATGGTAATATGATTGTATTGCAATTTGAATAAAAAATACTTTATGCAATATATGCATTACTTTTTTGGCCTACGTATGGTTTAGCGTGCATATCACCATTCAAACATGTTGCATTAAACAATATCACTTAAGAACCCCCACACAACTCAGTGAAATGTTGACTTTATTTTATGATTTACAGTTATTAATATATCGTTCAGAGTTTTCCTTTTGGTTTAACACATTGTTAAAAGCTCAACTCATATGGCAAGCTATGGCTGAAAATGCACAGTAACAATGTTTGTCCCTCACGATGGGTTGTATCTGCACGGAATGGTGCGTCATTAAAAATATTGGAACAGCATTTTCCCCTTTTCTTTGGTAAAGACTGGTCCTCTTTAACGTTTGCTAAAGGAGTCTAAAGTTATATACATACCTTCTTTAGAAGATAAACTAAAACTGAATTTGAGGCAACCATAAGTGAAATTAAGATAAGAAAAATGCATGAGTTTCCACTTTCTGCTACAGTGTGTGTCCATGACAAGGCAATGTCAGCAGGGCTTTGTCCTACAGTCATGCAGAAACAGAAAAAGCAGTATTAAGAATAGAATTGTTTCTGCAGGATGCCGCTGATATGCAGACGCTAAGCTTGTCTCCGAGCTCTAATCCAGAACCCATGTTCACTGTATAAAGCTTTCTGATGTGCAAATTGTGTCTTCCTTAAAATTCGCTGCCACGTCATCACTGAGATATACTTCCTGTTTCCTATGTGAAGCTGCTACTTGTTCCTATCACCTCCCACAGTGTGAATGCTGTCACATTCACTTCTAGAGGTTCTCAAAAGTGCGACACAGTGCTGGATAAAGTCAGAACAAGCTTGCGAGTGCGTCCCGCGGCAAAGCGTTCAGCTGTTCTTGTCCAGAGCTGTCAGCAGACTGCAGGATGACACGACTGATTCACGGTGACTGCAGCAGGCTTTCAGAATCCCCGCGCAGCTCCTGGAGCATCTGTACAGCGGAAGGTCAAACCTCAGCCAGGAGACGCAGAACTCACTCTGAACACGCGGATGTTTCTCTGAATATCCCGCGAGTTCACCCACCCTTTTCTAAACTCATCACCAATGTCCTTTCACAGTCATTTCCACTATATCTTTATGACATTTACTCCCCGCTAGCTACAGCCAATATACCTAGAAAGCCACTGACAGCGCGTCCATGTAATTCAATATGATAGCTCTCAACGCAACCAGCCAGATCCAAGAAGGAACCGGAATTTCTATCTTTCTTTTTTTAAACAAATGTCATGTTGAATATCGGAGCGATGCGATGTGTTGGCGGGGGTGGTGGAGTTAGTCCTTCGTCTGACAGTAGCCGAAGAAAAAATAGAGCTGTCTGTTCGGATCTCTTCGTGTGTGTGTGTGTGTGTGTGTGTGTGTGTGTGTGTGTGTGTGTGTGTGTGTGTGTGTGTGTGTGTGTGTGTGTGTGTGTGTGTGTGTGTGTGTGTGTGTGTGTGTGTGTGTGTGTGTGTGTGTGTGTGTGTGTGTGTGTGTGTGTGTGTGTGTGTGTGTGTGTGTGTGCGTTTGAGGCCTTGTATGTTTGTGGTTGCGGCACTCTGCAGAAGAAGGACACAGCTGTAGCACAATAATATTCCCCGTGTAGAATGACCTACATACAGGGGACCCCAATGGGTGTCCAGACATGTGTGTTTGTGTGTGTTGGAGTACAGAGTGTGTGTTGGCAGCTGTGTGCCTCCCTAGAGTTTTCAAAGAAACTTTTTTATTTTGGCCTTCAGCTTTTAAAGTTCCTCCGTCTGTCATTCAGTCTGTCAGGAGAATAAAAATAGACAAATGCCTCGAAAATGTGTCACCGATTTAATATTTATTACACTTGCTCAAGTCAAGTCATCTGAGGAAATGATCTCCCCTGAATGATCGTACTAGATACGGCAGTGACCCATGATAAGATGATCAATTGGTAATGTGAATAGCAAAAAGCAACGGGTTGTCTCCAAATGTGCTGCTTTATTGATCGGTTGTGCATGCAAGACATACTGTACATCAAATGTGTGCGTATTATTTTACCAGGTAATCCGTTATCATAACAAGCTGAAAGTCCTTTACCTGACTAATGCTTGGAGTGGCATCAACAAGAATATTGATTTGTTTTTTGTTTTTTATCCCAAATTGGTAAACCGTTTAGTTACATCAGCATGTAAATGCACAATACAAAAAAAACAACAACAATAAACAAACCATAAATACAATATACATATTAACACTAAATCTAGAGAACCCATTATAAAAATACACTATTTAAAAAAAGAAAAACAAGTAAATAAGTTAGAATACACAGAAATGTACTATTACTCCTAAATATACTATAAATATGGGCAATCAGCATTTTAAATTGTGCAAAATATTTTCAGTTTTAAACTAAAATTGAAATGCTGTGAGGTTTAGTCAACTTAAACATGTTTTGTTAATGGTTAAATAAAGGGCCTTTCAAAAATGTTTTCTTTCTTCGGAAACACATTTGTGAGACCTAATAAGTATATTTTCTGACACTCCCAGTTCACTGCGCTCATTTTGACATGGCTATAGTATGAAAAGAACAGGACATATACAGGATCTCACTCTATACTGTAGCTCCTAAATATTTCACTATGCTCACAGCTGGTTTCTCAGTCTGCCGTTTGATGCTGGGCAAGTAGAGTACAGTGAAAGAGAAACAAGTTTTTAATTTTCTACATTAAGCTGCAGATTGAATAGCAAATGCAGATTGAATAGCAAACGCTTTAAAGATCTTTTATCAGAGTAGGAAGTCTTTCTGTAACCTAACTAATCCAAACTCAAACTATAGTTGGCTTTTGTATACAAGTTAATTCAGTTTAATCTCCTCCTTTGCAGCCTGATCATGTCCGCGCAGCTAATTGTCTTCCTTATCTCCTACAAGCCCATCTAATTGTCTCTACTATTGCAAATTAAATATGTAGGTATTGCCTACATTGATATTGATGTAACCACTCTCTATTTCTTTTTCTTAAGTCATACTTTGATAATGTTAGCATGCAAGTGCACTTACCAGAGCTTCAGAGTGCATAATCACACCTAATTTTAATCGCTTATCAACCCCCCTTGTTGTTTGCTTGATTTGATGGATTCCAGCGCTGTGAGCTTTTTTCTCTCTCTCTCTGAGACGCACTGCGCTTATGTAAATCTATTTAGTCAGAAAAAAAAACATTACATGTGTTTGACTTCCCATAATTACCAAGACTCCTTGGGGACGGATTTAAATGCTAGTGATTACTTTGTTTGATTACTTATACTGTGTGTACGTGTGTGAAGCACAGCCTACACACTCTCTGACCCAAATCATTTTGCTAAACTTAACCTTGATGGATGAGGAAAACTACCGCCTAAATATCTATCTTAAAAAACCCAAATGTTAGTCCTTAATATGTAAAGAAGGATGTGAGTTCTTCAAAGTTAACTTGAGAGATCTTCATTACCAAAACCTTCTGAAGGTGCTGCCCTAAAGGCAAGACTTGAAAACCTTTCCGACAAGAAGTGTTCACAGCAGCCTCCAGGTGATGTAAGCCCCCCCCCCCGATGTCAGCCTGTCAAAGGATCGGCTGTTTAGTGGGAGTACAGAACGCATACAAGTTTAATTATGTGGTAGAAATCAGGTCAACCAACTTCTCTTTCATCAGACCACCAGCCTTCTATTTCTTTAGACCACCTCTTCTGTTCCCGGAGTACCTGCTGCAGGAGGCCTGTTCGGTTTTCTGACTCTTATACAAGATCAAATCCTCAACAACAAAGATTATGTTTAAAGTAAAAAAGTTGCCTTTACCTGTGGAGGAACTGCATTTATGGCAACGCGCTGGTCAAGCTTGGTTTGGAATGTCAGATACAAGAAAATATCCTGGGAACAGATTATACAAACTTCTCTTTTGATTGATTTAGAATGTCAGATAGAAGGAAATATCTAAGCATCAGCTATAGAAAATACTTTTTAGACATGATGGACCCCTTTGGACTAGACAATTCTGCATAATTAACAACATTGAAACTGAATACAGCATACAATACTACATTTAATGTAATTCTACACTTAGTAGTGTGTTTATTTTTCCTTTTTTGAGTTCCAAAAACTATTTTAAAAGTAGAACACTTATGGAACAGTGGGCTAACTTGATCGGTGTCAGAACTTTCATTTGAAATAGTAACAATTTCCCTGAAAAACGTTTTAGTATTTAAACATTAGGAATCTGTGTGTGTTCAGATCCGTGCTGGAGGGTTCGAGTACTCCCCCGGGACTCTTCACATCTACTCGGACAGCTTGCTGACACTTCCTGCCATAATCGGCATCGGAGGGGGGGGCGGCCTGCTTCTGCTGGTCATCATCGCTGTGCTGATCGCCTACAAGAGGAAGTCGAGGGACGCCGACCGCACATTGAAACGTCTGCAGCTCCAGATGGACAACCTGGAGTCCAGAGTGGCTCTGGAGTGTAAAGAAGGTAGGAAACAGTGGGATTGAACCTTTGTTAATCAACTGTGTGAAATTACTATGTTAATTGAGTATGAAACTATACTTGATTAAAGACAGGTTCAAGTTTGAAGACTCCAGGAAGTATGCAGAGCGTTGAAGCAAATGTTCGCAGTGGCCAAACTGTGGTACGAAAACCTCCGTGACGTCATTGGGCCCAAAAATACTTTTTCCCATTGACAAAAAATTGGAAAGGAGACTCTGTAAATTGGCATGTATTTTTTTTGTGCAAGATCAGCTACCCACTCCTAACACTTGAAAAGCCCTCATAAAGTGCGCTACATGCCATGTTCAGAATTATTTTCACTCTTCGTTCTTTTGACTGAGCCAAGACTGAGCCAAGACTGAGCCAAGACTGGCTGTGACGTGGCGGATTGGAGGCGGGGCTTATATAAAAACGCAAATGCACACGCTCTATTCTCCCTTTTACTCCCTGCAAGATCCAGGTTTGTTCTAAAGAGTCAGGCGTTTATTGCTTTTTCTTCCACTAAGCAACTTTTATAGGAATTAAAAAAGCCCTGCCTCTAACACTGTATCCAGTTCTCTTCATACATCATGTTCTGAATCTATAGTCTTGACTGCAAAAGTTGAATGTAATAGCCAAAGAATACCACGAAGAGAGAGATACTCCATTCAGAGATGCAATCCAAAGCAGCTGGATGCTGCCGTCATCACTGACAACATGGTTCCTGCAGGCTGTGTTTACTGAGGCAAATGCATAGTTGAGTCATTGCAAGTAGAAAAGTATTTTATTTACAAAATATGAAGGGTTGATATAACATCAAGCAGCCAATTTAGTGAGCATTATAAAAACAAACCATCATCGCAGCCAGGAGGCAAACCAAATGGTGCTGTATGGATGGGCAAATGGCGGCTCCCACCTCTTCTTTTTACGGCCCTCAGATTAATGTATAAACAACGTAATAAATAAAAAATATATTTGTTATTGTTTTACTTGTAGTACTTATACCGTCCACTCAGTGGCAACTGGTCATTCGGGGCAGGCACAGCCCCACCTAGTTTCAGAAGAAAGTATTAAAATAATAATTACAAGAAAATGCAAAAAAAATACATCTTAAAATATATTTTACGACCATGTTTAATCATCTGATTAGTCTGGAAATTGCTGTTTTAGTCTTGTGTTCTTCTAATTAGTGTCTACAGTGTGCCTATTGAGCCATTTTGAGTGAATGGAAGCTGTAAAAAGGACACTGCGCATGCTCAGTCTTTTTCTATTCAATGTGTGCGACAAAAAAATAATCCCCATAGAGGCACTGTGCTGACATACCCACCAAACGTCATCTCATAATTCAGAGCTGATTGGCTGTAAGTACGTGTGCCGCGAAAAGTGTGGTGTGTGAAGAGGAGACGAGAGAGGTGCAGTGACGCGTCCTAAAACCCGGAAGAAGCTTATATATAAACATCTAAGTTTTTTGTGCCCCACCACTTTTGTACATATAAAAACGCCACTGCGTCCACTAGACTCCTAGTTACGTCGCGAGCTGCATACATGATTTTGTTCAGCAGCCAAATACCTCAAAATAATCTGTGACGCGTTTGTGTGTATTGTGTTTGTTTCCCGGGGAAACACTCACAAGAAACACCGGCTGTTGTTATGCCTAAGTTACCGCGTGTAATTATGCCGTTACAAGCTTCAAAGTTGTATTTATCATCTGAATTTGGCGAAACAAGTTTAATATTCTGAAAACCAAGACTTTGTTTATTTGTAATCAGATGAAAACAAACTGTCACGGACCCGGCCGTGTTATCTATGATTACTATTCGCTTTTCATTCCTAATTTCAGCAGAGAGTTGACAGGTGTTTGTGTTGACATTCCCCTTATTGTGTGTCAGCAGAGACAGGCTACAAGTGTCTTAGGTTCAAGTTAGACAAATGATGTCTGGGTTAGTGTTCATGACTTCATGTTTATGTCATCTTAATGGTTAATCTTAATGCACACACATTTTCCGTGCTTTCCAATAGTTTAAAATAGTTGTATTCCACTGTTAAATAACCTGTTCAATACAAACATGCCACTTGACACATTTCTGTGAACCGATATTTGTTTAGTGAGCTTATTAGAGGATGTTCCTTGAAAGATTGTAAAATGTCACTGAAGATGTCAGACTTAGTATGTTTGTTAATGACATACAATACATTGTATTTTTGTGTGTGTGTGTCTTCCAAGTGAATCTGCGGCCCCCTGGTGGCCAGTACATACATTATGTGGCCCCCGCCACCATCCAAGTTGCCCATCATGCTGTACATTGTACAGCATGATGTGTCAACATCTCCATACTGACGTGGAACAAAGAAGAACATTTATTCCTGTGATTAATTTCTCCCTACGTGTTCCCTGTTATTGTCCATCCGTACTGTTTTTAAACCTTTCTATAAGACTATTTCATGCATTTTAAGGTGTCTTTGGGTGCTTTGAAAGGCGTCTCTACATGTTTTAATTATTATTAACAAATTCATTTATGAAACTCTTTCAGTCCTATTTAAAAAGAGTATTGGTGCCTCCTGTGGCCAACATTTATATTGCAACATCAAACAAATTATAATATCAATGACAACTTTTTTCCCAACCCTTAACCAACTGGAAACGAATTGAGGAACTTCGAGAGATTATCCTGAAACCAAAAGTGTTTTACCTCTTACATGATAAACCTAAGAAATGTATCACCAGGTTTTTTCAGATAAAGATGGAAAGCATACAGGAGGCAATGTGAGGTCAAATGGGTGCTGTTTGTCGAGAAAGGAGAGGTAGATGAGGGATACACATTTGGACAGAAGACACGTTGATCTGAGAGGGAGTTTGGATAACTGATGTAAGGACAGCCAACTTGTTTACAGCCAATAGAATGACACAGCCACCAAAAGCCATGGAACAAGGTCATAACATGATTACATTACAGCCACGATCATCTGCTGAACAACCAACTGTCACGGGTTGTGAAACAAGCAGGACCCAAATGCAGATTAAAAATTCCTTTATTTCAAGGCTATGATATATCTATACAATGACAAAACAGAACACTCACCGCAGAACTAGTCATGGAACAAGACGAACCCACCAAGACAGACAGAAAACCCAGAACTTAAATACACACAAGACTAATCACACAACAAGACACAGGTGAGGAGGGAGGAGAAAACACAGGGGCCCAGGTGAACATAATCAGACAATTAGACACACCAGGGAAACTAATGACAAGAGGAAAAACACAGGGAAAAGGACCAGACAATAACCCAGAGGAAAAAATGACATGGAAAACAGCAAAAAACACCCAAACCTACAAAACTATATACTATCTCGGGCGGACGGCCCGGGGCAAGGCAGAGTTAAAAAAAAGGGGAATTCGGGCGGACGGCCCGGGGGCAAGGGGAATTCGGGCGGACGGCCCGGGGGCAAGGCAGAGTCCATGGAGGGAATCTCGGGCGGACGGCCAGGGGGCAAGGCAGAGTCCGAGGAGGGGTGAAGACCAGACAGCTCCGGAGGCCGGTCAGGAGCCGGTGTCGGCAAGATCCCCCATGGAAGAGGACACAGGACCGGCAGGACCCCCGGCAGGAGAGCAGTCGGCGGAATCCCCAACGCGACAGGACATGGAGTTGGCAGGACCCCCAGCNCTGGAGCAGGGACCATGGCTGCTGGGGCCGGCACTGGAGCCGGAACCATGACTGCTGGGCAAGGAACCGGAACACTGGTCCATGGCTGTGTGGGATGGTACTGGAGCATGGTACCATGGCTGTTGGGCGCGGAACCCTGGCCTTGCGTCTCTTAGGAGTTTTTTGGAGGCTTCGTGGACCTCCAAACGCCAGACCAGACCCCAAGAAAAGGTCAGAAAATGAGGACTGGCTCTCAGGGCTACGTGAAAAAATCCTAAGCCACTCGGGCAACAAGCTCCAGAGCCAGGGCTTGCGAGCAACCTCCTGACGTGCCTCCTTCAACGCAGCCTCTCTACCCCGTCTAGATGAGGCGCCTTTCCACGTATAAAAAATATACTCCAGAGAATATCCAAGACGTTCCGCCTGTAGCTTCAAAAGCTCTGCTGGGTCCATTTTAAGGTGTATTCGTACTGTCACGGTTTGTGAAACAAGCAGGACCCAAATGCAGATATAAACTGAAACTTCCTTTACTTACATACATACATACATACATACATATACATACTGACAAAACAGAACACTCACCGCAGAACTCGTCATGGAACAAGACGAACCGACCAAGACAGAAAACCCAGAACTTAAATACACACAAGACTACTCACACAACAAGACACAGGTGAGGAGGGAGGAGAAAACACAGGGGCCCAGGTGAACATAATCAGACAATTAGACACACCAGGGAAACTAATGACAAGAGGAAAAACACAAGGAAAAGGACCAGACAATAACCCAGAGGAAAACATGACATGGAAAACAGCAAAAAACACCCAAACCTACAAAACTATAAACGTGACATAACATGAGAATCGTGACACCAACTGGAACAGAGCTGCAGTTCAAAGTGATCCGTGCACGTTTACTGACATTTTCGGAAAATGTGCTATGAGAAAAAAAATATTCTTTCCTCAAAGAAAAACCTTTGGAGTCGGTAGAAAAGAAAAACACTCCGTTTTCCAAGACATGAAGCATGGCCTTATTCCCACCCGCCCCGCCTGCTGTACTCCCAGCTGGCCTGTAGAGGCGAGACAGTTTGTGTGGGCGGAGGAACAGATGAAGTGGGCGGGCCGCAGCGCGTGTGTGTGTGATAGCAAAAGTGTATGTGTGTGAAGTTGGCTCCGCTCTAAGAGTCCTGAGGGGACGAGACAGGGGACGTTTGATTCAGTCATCTGTGAAAAGCAGACAACACCCCGTACACATCCTCCAAACTAGCATATTAGCAGTCATGGATGATTAGTTACACATTAGAAATGCTGACTGGCAAGTGTCATGTTTTGAGTCAGTATAGATACTGTTGAGACGCTTTATGAAAGCAAATACAATGGAATGGATTTCCAAAGAATTCATGGGCAAAGCATTGTTTACATTTACAGGCTAATGCAAGCACACTCAGTGCCGTGGCATTTTATACACTTCACTTCCCAGATTTGCTGTCTTGAAGTCTTTACTTTGTGTACTCAAATCAGAAACATATGAAGGATTTGTTCAGGAAAGACTTACCAGATACACTGTTCACAGCAGCCAGATTAAAGCAAATATACACTGGACATCAAACCAAACCCATGTGGCAGCAACAGGTGAATAAAATGTATTTAAATGTTAACTTGTGTGTTCCGACTTTTACTAAGAGGTAAGGCTTATTTGAAATACTACAGAAACTCTCCACTAGTCGTGCACATGGTTTTATTAGATGCGTTACATTAGGTGGGTGTTTCCTCTACATTACATTACATTGCATTTAGCTGACGCTTTTATCCAAAGCGACTTACAATAAGTGCATTCGACCAACAAGATACAAACTTGAAGAAAACATCATATAAGTACATCAGGTTTCATAGAGCTAAAACATTTCAAGTGCTACTCCACTGGCTTTAGATTACCCAGTCCTTTATTAGTATATACAGTAAGTGCTTTGATAGTAATTCTTTGTTAGTAATTATATTGCTCGAAGTGGAGTCGAAAGAGATGAGTTTTCAGTCTGCCCCGGAAGACGTGCATGCTTTCTGCTGTCCTGATGTCAATGGGGAGCTCATTCCACCATTTTGGAGCCAGGATAGCTAACCCACGTGTTTTAGCTGATGGGAACTTGGGTCCCAAGTCTCTACTCCCTTGGATTGTTGGTGCTGAACACCTCTACATTTCTAAGTGCTTTAGACATTTGTAGTTATGCCTTAGTTAATTCTAACACCAAACTGCATTGTCATGGACATAAAAATGGTCCAGATAAATAAAAAGATAAAAATCATATTTCATGAGTTTTAAATCAAATCTCCCTGCAAATAAAACTGTTTTTTAAAGAGATGAAATGCACTCTTGAACTTTAGATAGATATAGCTTTAACTATGCTAATGGTAGCATTATGATTTCTCTCTGCCACGCAGTCTCATTAAGATGTCTTTGCTACTAAAGATTCTTGAGAAAACTGAGGAGAATTTACTATCTGTTAAATGCCTATCACTAGTGTTGCAATTCAGTGAAAGTCAGTCATAGTCTCGCTTTAACTATATTTGAGGTATCTTGATGTATTATTCAACAGACATTTCAGTTCATCAGAAGCCATTATTTTGTAAGGTGTGTCTTGTGTTTTTCTTTGCCCTTTTCAGGCAGAATCATTTGCCATTCGAGCAATAAATACGAAATTAATTAATGAACGAATCGGAGATGGGAGTTTTGATGACAGAATATGGAAGGAGTGAAAAAATTATGCAAACCTCTCGCCTTCTTTACCTAGATTTATATTTGTCACACACCTCTACCTCCTCATCTTTCTTGCTCTATCCACTCAACTTTTTTTCCTGTCTTCCCTTTATCTTCTCCGCTTCCTCTCCATCTCTCTTGTGGACCAACCAGTCCAATAACAGCTGGGAGAAATTATGCATGAAAACTCATCCGTCGCTCTCTTAATAATTATCCACTCATGCAATTAATTGACTTTCCTTTCCAGGAACTTTGTTTTTTGTCTCTGCTTCTTCCTCTTTCTCTCTCCTCGAGCTAGCTTTGCCTTTTTATTTCATTATGTTTGGGCTTTTTTGATTGGACAAAAAAAGATTACATTTATCGGGTCTAAGACACCAAAGAGGAAACTAAGTTCACAACAGTTTAAAGTCTTGTCTTTTTTCTCCCAGGTGTTCTTTCAGGATGTATTTGTTTGAAAAATGTTAGAGAAATTACAATGGGGCACTTTTAATCACACTTAATTACATGTCCTTCACTTAAATGAATTTGATTGCTATATTGGGATTTGTTATCATTCATTAATGTCTAAAAACCCTTGCTTCTTTTTCTCTGAATGTATTGGTCCTCTTTCTTCATCATGGTGGAGCATCATATAATTACCGAATTACCCTCCAACCTCTACTTTTCATCAAATAATGAACTCCAGATTAGCAGTGATACACATTGATAGTATCAAGCTGGTGTCACTTACTAATTCAACAAAGAAAGTACCTGCCGGAAAGGAGGTATTTTAAGTGTTAAGTAGTGTTAAGTGTTAACTGACGCCTACAGTAGCAACCGCATTAACTCAGTTGCTACAGGACATCAAGGTCACACAGTTTATTCAGAATACTTTTTTACTCCTTTTGTTTGTTGCAGAAAGAGAGTATATTTTCGGAGCAATTGGCCTTTGAAACAATAAGTGTTGGTTTTCTGGATAACTGTCAAAGAAATGGGTTTTCTGAGTAACGGGCCATCGCAACAATGTACCATCGCAACAATGGGCTCTTTCCCATCTACACCTAGCTGTAGAAACATCCAGTGGGAAAGCAACCTTTATTTGGGACCGTCTAGCTTTCAATTCCTCTACAGGTTGCCAATCGTGAGTGAATTTGCTGTTTGTAACGTGAATTCCAGTGTTCACAAACGTCAAATGTACTTAGCAACAGTGAGAATGGACGAGCATATGAACCTAGACATGAACAGTTAATTGGACCTTTCAAACAAAATTAAACTGCAATGACCGTTAAGTCAAATAACGGAAATAATACTTTTAAATCAAAAGGCAGAACCAAAGGCAAGTCCTTTACCAACTGTTCCATTCAAACATGTTTTTTCGCCATCCACCAACACTTTCTCTACTTGTACATTTTCTTCGTAGCTTTTGCCGAGCTCCAGACAGACATCCATGAGCTGACCCAGGAGCTAGACGGAGCTGGGATCCCCTTCCTGGACTATCGGACTTATGCCATGAGGGTCCTGTTCCCAGGCATCGAGGACCACCCTGTGCTCAAGGAGATGGAGGTACGGGTCAGTACCCCACCAACCAAGCTTGAAACTAAAACCAACTCAGCGTCAATAATCAATTCTTGTAGTACCAAGAACTAAGCCTTTGAACCAATGAACTAACACCAGAGGTAGAAGGAAGTGGTGAAATATGGATTGAATGTCCTACCAGCTTTATACCCTTGTAGCTATTTTCCTATAACAGTTTTCATCAAAGACACTCATTCTGAGATGTCAGACATGTTTCACAGCAATTATATAACCTGTGTTTTACCTACTTGGTGTTGATCTGCTGAAAATTACTTTTCAAGAGACATACTGTCATCATTAGTTAGATCTCATGGGACTAACTCTCATCATATTCTCTTGATGTGGGGACGTAGAGTTTTAAAGTGCTTCAAATGAACTGAAAATAAATGTTATGTAAGACATACAAGAAGATAAAGAGATGTAAAAAAAAAAGTGCATACTGTAGCAAAGATGAAGAGAAGGAGGATTAGAGCAGAGAGATTCAGGGTAACGAGGATTCTTACTTGCATTATACATCACTGTTAAGTTATTAATTAAGCCTGTACATGCAACCACCTTGCCAGCACAGCTGAATGGAGACAGTGCACGCGATTTACCGCTGAGACCAAGGGAAGTACAATTAATAGTGTGTCAACATAAACTACTCCGCTCCAACGCTAGAAACCAAGAGAGCCAAGTTTGTAATCAGCAGTATCATTGAGATGTAGAAGCTGGTGCCGCTTCATTGACTTTGATTGGAGCGCTGACTTTTTGGAGTCGAGGAATAATTTGTTTGACCTTTTTACAGCTTCATTTAATTGTTCTAATCCAGAAAGTGGATTTATACTCCTGGAAAAAGAAAAAGCCCTCGGGGCGGTCTCAGAGCTGCCATGTCTTTTTTTTTTTGGTTCATTCCTAGCGATTCATCCTCTCTTATTTTTGGCTACAAGCAACAGTGGTGATTACTTAAATACAGTAGAGATATCCTCAGATATGGAACAAAGCCCATTGTGGCTCCCACCAGAGACTACAGCGCTATAACTAACACAACTCCTGATAATGCAGAATCTGAAAGAATACAGAGTAGTTAGTGTAACAGGCAAATCAAATGAAACTCTTTTAACCATTGGTCCCCTCCTCTGTATTTGGCTTAGCACTTTTGCAGATTGGTATAACCTTTTGTGACATAACATCGATAGCATTTGATCAAATACGAACATAATGTTAAATACGCTTATCACATCTAAATCCTTTGGAATTTCTTATTGAGTTTTGGCATTCAACTTTCATAAAGTGAAATGTTTTATTGCCGGAGAAACCAGGAATACTATACAATTCAAATGTCACGCCTAATGAATGTGTACATCTTGTAGATAGGAGCTGGAAATGAGAATATATAGTTTGGATTAAATATTATGGAAGAGGCGTAACCTACAAATGTCATAATTACATTCTCATACTTCTTCTTTGCCTCTAAATATTTTAAGTTGATTAAAATATTGATATTATGAAATGATATATGAAAAGTTTAACTGGGAGACACCTTACCATTTGTTAGAGAGAAACTGCATGTCTCAGTGACACAAGAAACAAACTTGAAAACAAGCGGGGTCAAATAATATATATTCTCTAATTATATGGTGCAATCAAAAATAGACATGATATTTCAATGTAATTATTATTTAGTATGGTTTATTTTTTTAATGTAAATATGTTTCTTGTATACAGTAATGTATTAAATATATTATTATAATTTTTCATTATAATTCTTTTAAATTATTATAACTATGTTATTAGCAGATAAGCTTTAATTAGCTAGAACTAGCATGACCTCTAGCTTGGGGCAATTGTCATACCGTTGAAAGCTTCAACCAAATGTCTTGTCCATTGTAATGACTTAAAATAAAAAACAATGGAGGAGAGGGGGTAAACATTTTGTATCAGTGATTCACTAATATCCAAGCTCCAACAAATATTGGGGTTTTCATGAATGGGAACCATATCTAAACATCGACCTACCCTGAACTGCCATTTTATAAATCCTAATATCATCGTGGATGAATTGGATCACATTTTTGGTCACCTCGCAAAAGTAAGCCATGCTTAGCGCCCAGCATGAATATGCCCAACAGCTTTTATCAACCAGTTAGCCTAAAATATGTAGTGTCGTCACTTGTAAGCTCTTTTTTTTTAGAAACATGACACTCCAGTAAGGTGTCCCCTGTTACAAATACAGTCCTCCTTTAATTTGAGGTGTCAGGTGGGCAGGAGGTAAAGGGATCTTACGGGTCTTCTAGTTTATGTCTTATGTCTAGACTTCCTTCCCCTTCTCTCTGTATTTCCCCCAGGGGTTGCCAGCTTAATCCAATGGCCTGTGTAAACCAATGCTCATAGCTTTATTGCTCTGTGTGACTGGGCTCTTCCCTAAGCTAGACAGCCACACTACACACCAGTTATCCTCACACACACACACACACACACACACACACACACACACACACACACACACACACACACACACACACACACACAGTG